CCCAGCATCCAATTAATGATGGTGTGTACAGTGAACATACTTACACTAATTGACTGGTCCAATAGTCACAGCTGCCCCCAAGCACTTCTGGAAGTAGCATTTCTGCAGCAGAACCATGCAGAAATGCTTCACGTTTATTAACTTGTTTGTTTTGGATTGTTGGATTGGTTCCCCATTCCCAAGGCACTTAGATTTGTTCTTTTAGCTTAACACTACAAAGTAATCAAATCACTCCCTTACAGCTGACAGACTGTAGGAGCCCTGAGCAGGGGGAGAGCGGCATCAGAAGAAACATCTACATTTTCCCCTACATCCTTCACACTTTAGATCTGACTCATCTATATCCCCGGAATTCAAGAATATTGAACTTCAACTGACATGGGAAATTATTTGAAGATGCAGCACTTCCACTTGAAATTAAGGCTGATTTACCTTCTGGGATCAAGGACCAAGACTCACTTATAAACTGAGAAGCTCGAACACACTCTCCTGCTTCAAGTCAAACACAAGTGTTGCTTCAACCAAGGAAACATCCTTCTAACTCTATGTAAAGTTCAAACCAACCAAGCCTTATATGAGAAGATGAAATGGAGGATTCAAACATGCCTATGTGCCCTTCCATCAAATGTGTAGAATGGCTTATAACAGAAAGACAAAGGAGATGGCTCAGAGTCAAGATGAATAAAGGAATTATGAAAAATTCATGCCTTTGGTTGGATTTTGATTGTGTCTCTTCAGTACAATTTACTTTTAGCTTTATGCAATGCAATACTAAAAAAAAAGCTTAGCACACAACCCTTGAGGTGGAAGACAAAGATAATTTTTTTTTTCATTTAGAAAAATGTCAATGCTCTTGTCTAATGTTACCCAATGCAAAATTAGAAAGAAATTAGTGCTTGCATGGCCCTTTGTGTTTAAAAACAATTTGAATGACCCACTGCTTAAAGTATGGAAAGGGTCCTCTGTTATTAAAATCCAAACATATCTCATTTAGACTCTACTCAAACTGACAGGGTAAAGCTTGAAGAAAATCCTCCAGCAGGTTGTTTTTTTTAATCGAGAACAACAACCACCACCACCACCAAACCTTCATGGAGCCTGTGATCAAAAAATCTTACAGAGTTTGGTCTTAATACTCCAACAATGTCAGGCATTTCAAGGCAGTAGCATCAAAACTAGATATTTACTGCTTGGTAGTGAGTAACCCTTTGAAAAGGGAGGAACAAAAATTCCTTTTTAATGAGTCACCATTTGGCAGTCAGAGATCAAAACCTTTTGCCTGGATTTCTGACTGCAGGATTGTATATACTTGGGGTTTTTTCAGTCTGTGTGACTTTATTTAAATCAACACAGTCAATTAAGAAAATAAGTAAGTTAAAAGGAACCAGAAAAGTGAAGCCCTTATAAGTGCTTCATGATCAGCATGATCTACTGGGTTACTGAGATACTACATGAATTGAGAAACAATTACCATATATAAAATTGGAATTGTGAAAATCCTAGTAAGATTTAAAGTAACTAGTCAAAGCAAAATGAAATTATACTCAGTATCTATTCTGACAACCACATGAAATGAATGTTGCATAATTATTCCTAAACTAATGAAAATGCCTACATACTAAATGGTACATACTAGTGTATGGGGGGAAAGCTTCTCGTGTGTGAGTGGAACTGTGCATGACAAATGTCTTCATTTACTTTTGCCCAAAACTTAACCTGTGAAGACCTGTTCTGTTCCCCTATATCAAATTATGAAGTTTCAGCAAAAAGGAAGACATTACAATGTAATGTCAGGGGGAAAAAATAAATCCACCTGCATTGGCACTATAGCCAAAGCAAAGAAATAAAACTAACATTCACACTGGGAGGGTTTTACAGTAAGATTTACCTGCCTTTATTTTTTAATATCATTTCCAACTATGTGAAAAGTACCTAAAGGCCTCAACTAGTAACAAGCACTTATGATTTACAAATATTTAACTACTTAAGGATGCTTAGTGTGAAATTCAAAGTAAAGACTCATTATTCCCATTTTACAATGGACAAGTAAGTACCTGAGAAACTAAAAAAAACAAACTGTCTCCACCTCTGGAGGCTGGTGGGGCTACAGATATTTTGACCCTTTAAGAAAAAAACCTTTACAGTTTTGACATTAGAGTAGGCATTATTCATGCCTGGCTTCTACCTTAGGAATCTCCAAACTGTTATATGAAAACTCATATCCACAGATATTGGAGCAGGGACTTACCATTCACTCCACACAGCCATCAAACAGCCATCCCCTGCAACTCCCCATCAGCAAAAGCATCTCCATACCTCACTGTCAGCTCACTCAACCATCCTGTTCCTTACATCAGTTGATCTTAATTTATGTTCAATTTACTTGTAGATTGGAAGTTATTAGAGTAAATAATTACAGTAACTGGTTACAGTTTGGGAATTGGGAGAACTGAAGAAAGAATTCAGAGAAATAACCTGATCTACTACTGTAAAGAGAATCAATCATCCATCCCCTTCCATTAGTCTTTTTGGCAATCCTGTGTCGCTGTTGTCACAAGCCTGGATAACGATGCCACATTAATTCTCCTTTTGAGAAACGAAGTACAAGATTTGACTCCGTAACTGTGTCCTGTCTGACCTTGGGGAATCTTTGGGGAAAGTTTCCCATCAAATCCAGCTACAGATTTCACTGAAGAATTACCGAGTTGGGCTCATGCTTTATAACCCAAATGCGTGAAAGAAAAATATACAACCACTCTTCTGTTTCCACTAGAAATAAATAATATCTACCTAACTAACAATTTTGCAGATCCAACCCTATGTGAGAAATTACATTTCTAAAGCCATTTCAACAAGCCTGCTCTGAGCTGATGGGCATGGGGCAGAATGAAGAGACAGCAACTGAAAATTTCTTATGTAACAACTACCATTCCTTTAACTACATTTACCCAAACTGGGGATGGGCTGTATTTCCCAACCCAAATATTCCCAAAAGGGGAAAAAAATACCTTTGTTGTAAATACTACAGAACACAGAACTGAAAAAGAAGAAAGTCATTCTCTGTTTCGTAACAGAAACAGCCTCACTCCCTTCCTTCAAGGCTACCCACTGCCCTCAGCACAACACGAGCTGCGGCATCGCTGCTGTCGGTGTGAGCAGGCAGAAGAGGACATATGGCCTTTTGTGCTGTTCCCAAGATGCTGCATGTTAAAAAAAAAAAAAAATAATTAAAAATCATTATCCTAGCAGGAAGAAGCCCAAGCCGTTGTAAATGTTTGTTTATTGCCATTTTTAGAAGAAAAAAAACAAACCTACTCTTGGATATGTAAACCTAAACCCAGATGCTGGATGGGAATCAAGAAGAAACCACACATTATTTTGGGGAAATCATTAATTATTTTGGGAAAACCTTTGCTTCCATGCTTATTTGAGTATTTCTCTGTAACTAGGTATCATTTCTATTACTGTGGCTACGACTAACGAGTTAACAACACTATTTACACTAGTACTGTTGTATCATTAGAAACAACAAGATTATGTACTTTAATTCTAATGCCAGCACAATTATTTTAACACCAAGTGTGTCAGATCTGACTCTATACCCCCCAAATTAATTTCAGAGTAGTGGCTAAATAAAATGACATATTTCTTTGTGCTTTTGTTATAACATGCTCATGTGCAGCAAACTGTGAAGAAAATGTAGTAATTAGAGGTTAAATTAATCCCTGACAGACAGGCAGCTTAGTAAAGCTCGGTCCTCTTCAGAAAACATAGCATAAAGCTTGCCAGTCTTTCAGAATTAGGCACAAAGAACAGGCAAGATTGGCAAATCCCTCACCACTGCTATCCAACCAAAGGGCAATGCTGGGAAGTCAGAGTAAGTCCAGGAAGATCTTGTGACAAATGTGATTGAGAGCTCAGAGCAATTGTTGCTGCAGCCGCTCTAACTGCCTGATCAGGATCAACCACTTGAAATTAAAGACAGCCTTCTGCACAGCAGAACAGGCTTCTAACCACCATATAATCAACCTCGAGACGTTAATAAAAGCAAACAATGGCATTTTATTTCACAACATAACTAGAAAGTTACCTTGCTGCTTCTGATTTTAATGCAGGGAATGGATTTCATTGCCCACAACAGAGTAAATGTGCTGTGTTATTCTGAAAACAATGAACAGGTATGTCTGGAGTAGGTGTAACTCCTGAACCTGCTGGGATTTTTGAGCCCTTAATTCTAGAAAAAAAGAAACTTCCACAGAAATGCAAAATAAAACAACACAAGACAAAAGAAGCAGTCAGATCATGTTTGTGACATCCAGCAAGTACTTCTTTTTTGTGCCTGTCAACAGAAGTAAATGTTTTTTCTGACCTCTCTAGTTGCGGCACAACAAAAGGAGCTGTTTTTTAAATCCATGCAAATACATCACGTTAGCAGAGGGGACAAACTGAGGGGTGTTTGTTCTGTGCTGTGCAAAAACCTCCCTGGCTTCTCCGAGCAGGAACTGCAGAGGCACCACTGCGTCCGTCCCACTTGACTTGCGTTGCACCTCCGCAGGTGGAAGGTGTAAAGAACTGGCTTCCCCCTGGGCTAAGACTGGTGCCACTCAATAGATTGTCTGACATGGGGTGAAACAATAACATAGTTAACACCCTCCCCTGTGGAGATAATCTATATCATGTCTGTGACAGGCTGAGCCCCCAGCTGTTCCTGCTCAAACAGGAAAGCACAACAGGCAGTTGTGCGGTTGGATCACCAGGTAAATCCACAAGAAAAAGTGAAAAAAGGAAAAAAGAGCAAGTATTACAATTCAAGTAAAACAAAAACAGGGGGCTTGCAGAGATTGCAGATCAGTGTGGGAGTGCATTAACACCACTGATATTTCTGTACTACCCAGATCATCAATTAGTAACAAATTAGGACATGCCTGATGGGGTACTTATGCAACACGTCTTTATCAATAAAACTGCCAAGTTCCTTGCAGAGAAATGCAGAACAGATTTCAACAAGTCGTAATATGATGTCTCCCTTTGGCCAGGATATGACGATGAATTCCAGTTTCCACCTCCTCAGCCTGGTCACCCATTCCCAAAAAGCAACTTTGGTCAGTCCAGCAGTCCCTTCTGAAGGCCTGGGTGCACCCTGGCAGCAGCCCCTGACTCAGGCCAGCGCTTATCAATGGCTCATTGCACCCATGAGGCAGCACTCGGAGTGAAGGCCCCAACAAAATCCCACACCTGGGCTCCTCTGGAACTTCACTGACCACATGGAAACAGCCACCCGCTCCCTGGGCAAAGCCCACATCCCCCAGCTGGTCCAGCTGGCTGGGCTGCGTGGCAGGGAGGGGAGGAAGGAAACTAACACCTCTTTCCCCTGCTCTGCCCTTTGGCCACAACTCTTCTGCCCCAGGAGCCAAGAACCAGCTCAAATTCAGCCTGCAGAGACTATGTACTTCACCCTGCCGCATTTCCATTTCACTTCTTCCAACAGGTGGGAGCAAGGGGGGCTTGCTCAAGGGCCTGATCCTTGAGACCCAGATTTGACCCTGGAATTAAGAGAGTATACTGTAAAATGAAAAAGGACTGCTAGGCTGGGCCCTGGTAGGAGCCAGACTGGTGTACTCTCCTACCACCCAGCCTAACAAGCACCTTCCAGTTCATCTGAGGATTTTCCTCTTGAAGGAAAGTAATGACTTAGCAATACATTTTCTTCCATTTAAAAAAGAAAAATTAAGATCATGAAGGGGGGTTCCCAAAAGGAATAAAGACTCTTCATAGCTCATTTGCTAGTTATCCCTCTCTGACTGCATCACCTCTGGTGGTGCAACTGGTGACTTGTGACTTTGAAAACAATGGAGTTGTATCCCAGGAGCCATGAGCCCTGCTTACACTGTCACCCTGAGATATACTTTCATTTTGAGCAGAGCTAACAGCCTGGTCCACAGCAACTGCAATGAAAAATAACTACCAGAAGAGAAGGATATAAAGTGAAAACTTTAACTGACAAAGACTTGAATTTTCTGTGCAAAGCACCAGCAGTAATAATAAAGAACACAGCAAAGAGATTGTGATGGAATCACAAGCCGTTTTGCAAAGTTTCCCTTCAGCTGCTGGCAGGCCTGAAATGGGTTATAGAAAGTTAAAACTGTGTTATTGATCACTGCACATTCTGCAGGGCTGAGTTTTTGTTTTTAAATAAACCAGCACTGTTCTTTCACTATTTTCACTTAAAACACTAGTCCAGTATCTTCCAATATCTGGTCCAACCTGAAACAACACTAATGAGGGTAGTACTAGGCACCTAAACAGTTTCTTCACATATCTGTTAAGCAATTGCCTTTTTGAGTGCCCTCCCTGCTTCCACTGGTGCAGAAAACAAAACTTACTAAGAGTGCACAATGGTATCGTACACATTTGGCACTTCACAGCAATGCTCTAAAGTTCCCCTTCAAAATTACTGGCAAGGAATGAAGTTCTGCATAATTTTAGCACTCAACATCTGAAAAAATTAGAACAGTCCCAACTGTTCTTTGAGATGTACAAAAGAACAGTTGAAAAACTTACAGTTGACTGGTGCTACCTAGGTTACCCGTCAATGCCATTGAAACTGGTATATTATTAAGAGAGGTGTATGATGGGAATTGGTTTATTGTGCTGATCCATAGTAACCAACTCCTGTTCGTCCATCATTTATCTCTCTCACCAGCGACATATGGGTTTGTCTATTCACACTCTCAGCATTCTCTCTGCTCCAACAAACAGTCAGCCTTTTCTGCTGGGATAAGGAGATTTTTTAGTTACATCCATTATGTGCGTATCAACATTTATGGCAGGAAGATAATTGCCAAAGAGCTCAGGGGGATAAAAGCTCCCTCTTTATAACACAAACCCCCTTAAAAAAATCAATATTGATATAAAACAGTTCAACACAAAGCTTTGGTGTGTCTTCTGCTTCCTTCAGTTCAAAATACTTTCTTTTTTTGTAAGATAGCAAGTCAAACAGGCACATCAGTTAGAAAGCCTTTGCAATGAGTTAGGATACTGCTCTTCCCATAGAGGAAAAACAGAAATTACAGTATTAATTGTTCCTTAAAAAAAGCTAGTGGCAAACGTGTCAGATATAAAGAGGGTTCCTTGGACAGGTGCCAACACCATTTAAACTGATCTAGCTATCTTTATTTGGAGACTATACCAAGTACTAATGAATCGTAACTTACAGTCACCTTCGCCTAAATGTTGAAAAATGCTGACACTCAGAAAGAGCCAGCATGAGGGAACAATGACAACCTGGGGATCCTGCCTGTCTCCCTATTTAAGGAGCTCAGATAACCTTCTATCAGTCCATCCCCCAGTTCGGATAAATCCATTTGTCACAGCTTCTGCAAGATTTACTCCACTTTCCCATGGCTGTGTATTCATAAAAGTTATTTTAAGGCGACTTTCATCAGAGTAGCAAGTAACACAGAACATTTGTTGATTAAATGACTGGGAACCAGTGAGTTGCACTGTACTTAACCTACAGGACGACTCAGGGATTTTACTTACTGTTACCCTTGCCCTTGTGTTACCTTCTGCCTCCCTAACTTCTGTCTCTCTCATGAAGCCAGTTTCTAGGTTGATCCTTGACCTAAGCTTCCATCCAGGCAGGTTAGCGACCATTTAAGTCAGGGCAGGAGTGTCAGCCTGACACCTTGGTTCAAGAATTCTTACAGTAAATCTTCCTGTATTTCAGAAAGCGTCTGGCACAATAGCTCCTTAATCCCATTTTAAATCTCTGAAAGCTACCACATTGTAACATTTGTAACAAGGTCAGTAAAAAACCCAAACCAAACACTCTGTATTTATAAAACACTTCTACCTGTGTAACAGGAAGCCAGACAAAAGAATAAAAAAGGAATTATAACGGCCTTCTGTAATCACTAATCCCCCAAACCCTTTAACAACCACCTTAGCTGTAAAAAAATTCAAGAGACTGAGGTTTGAACTACTTTTTTTAAAAGGGACTAAAAGTGGAGTCCTGTCAATATTTGCTTTTCTGATTCTGAAGTATTAGTTAAAGGGATTAAAAATAGACATGAAAAAACCTCGTTAAAAAAAAAAACACAACACAAAACAAAAAAAAACCCCAAACAACCCTCAGAAAATAAAAGGCTAAATTAAATTTGAACTGCTCAATTCTAAACACTGAACAGCTCTTCACTCACTCGAGAGGAGCTGTTAACTGCATGTTACCTGCCTTACAATATAAACTACTTGTTTTCTATCCCTGAGCAACAGACTATTTCCTGGTTGAGTTTAAAAACTCAGTGACGTTCCAATTTCAACCCACACATGTGTGTCACTGTCAACGTCAGTGGCAGGAAAACATTAGAAGTCACCCCTTGCTAATGCTTTCCTAACATGGAATTTCCTCGTATCTGGCTCCCTCAGCCCCCTCCTCCCTTCAGCTGAGAGCATCTTTCCCAATTCCATTTTTTCTTTTCTTTTCTTTTTTTTTCCCCTTCCAAACATATGGCAGGAAGAGAGAACTGAAAATGGTCAGTGCCAAAACTAGATCGCTGCTTTTTTAGGTGCTAGCGTGTAACTGAACTCCCACTGCTCCTGCCTGCGCCGCTCACTCGGGGAGCGCGGCCGTGGGCAGAGGGGACCCCCCCCCGCCCCCCAGAG